GATGGGACCCCCAATCCAAATGAGGATGATGGGACCCACAACCCAACGGGGATGATGGGACCCACAACCCAATGAGGATGATGGAACCCCTAACTCAATGGGGTTGATGGGACCCCCAATCCAAATGAGGATGATGGGACCCACAACCCAATGAGGATGATGGGACCCACAACCCAACGGGGAAGATGGGACCCCCAAGTCAACAGGGATGATGGGGCCACCATTTTCGAACAAGGCCGTTCTCTTGAAATGGTGCGCCCCTGGTCTTTGATGTGATCCCACACGCACACACACACACACACACTCCTCCCTTCTCCGGTTCTCCAGGGAAGAAGGCCAAGGCCCCCACCCCGCAGGAGGCCATCCAGAAGCTGCACGAGACAGAAACCATCCTGGTCAAGAAGCAAGAATTCCTGGAAGAGAAGATCCAGCAGGAACTGCAGTCGGCTAAGAAACATGGCACAAAGAACAAAAGAGGTAGGAGAAGAAAGGGGGGGGGGGGGGGGGGGGGGGGGGGGGGGGGGGGAGGAAGCAGGCACACCTGAGCCCTGAAGAGGAGCCGGGAGAAATAAGGGAAGGGGAAAAAATAAAATAAATAGAAATAGGTTCTCCCCGGCCTGTAACGATAAAGCCTCTTACACAAATATTGTGATTCCTATTCTCTGTAAGTAGGTAGCCCTCAACTTAACGACCACAATTGAGCTAATGTTGGTAAGTGAGAATTTTTTTGTCAAGGGAGTTTGGCCCCATTTCTTGCCTCCGTTGTTAAGTGAACCCCTGCTGTTGTTAAATTAGTAACCTGGTTTGTTAAGGGAATCTGGCTTCCCCCATCGACTTTGCTTGTCCGAAGGTCGCAAAAGGGGATCGTCTGACTCCTCGACCATCAGTTGTCAAGCGTCCGAATGTAAATCACGTGACTCTGGGGAATGACGGGACCGTCATCCTTATTTTATTTATTACTACCTGGATACACGTGCTTCGTTATGAAACTATGTGGCTGGGCTTAGTTTATGGGGAGGAAAATAAGGAGGAAAAAATTCTGCCTCTGCCTACCAGCATCCATCGGTATTCACCTGGTTAATGTCCTGTCAGTGTTGAGGGCTGTTTGGAAACTTAAACAGTATTTGCTGTGTGAGCAAGGTGGGGACAGCAGGGAGCCCGGGGGTGGATTAGCTCAACTGTTCTGTACTAAAGCTGCTTGCTGCTCTGAAACGGAAACTGAAATGTGCTGCTCTGAAACTAAAACTGAAACTGAAACTCCTCTCCTCTGCTTGTGTTTTGCCTTTGGAACAGATTCCTTTTCAGGTGGGGAGGGGGAGTAGAACTCCTTAGCATCGGAGCTTAATAATAATAATAATAATAATAATAATAATAATAATAATAATAATAATAATAATAATAATGATAATGATAATGATAATGATAATGTAATAATATAGGAATAAATACTAATGCTCTGATGGTCATTTGGAAAAATCCTTTCTTACTGGACCCCTAGAAGCCAAGAGGAACATACGGGCCAAATTTCAAGTTTGTAGACTTTACGGTTCTGGAGATTTTGTGATGATGCGTGAGTGGCCTTTCGCTTTTATATAGGTAGAAGATTATAATTTAGAAAAATGTATATTGCGGCCTACAGGCGCATGGCGACTAAAGGCAGCTTACGAACATATAACAACACTCTATAAAAGACATTTAAAATAATAATATAATAAAATAATAACCTTCCACCCCCTTCTTCCTGGCGACATACTACATGTTCGTAAGTGTGAAAAATGGTCATAAGTCACTTTTTTCAGTGCCGTTGTAAAATGAACTGTTGTAAGTGGAGGGCTACCTGTATTATCAGTTGTGTCGTTTTTTGAAATACATATGTGTGAATGCACATCCATAGGGTTGCTCTGAGTCACACATTCAGTTTATACGCTGAGTTTGTTTCAGGGAAGAACTAATTTAGTGGGGTCCTTGAGGGCTCTGAGCTTGATTGTTTCGTGATCCAACTAGATAACATCATCAGTTGTAGAGTTGTAATTGCAGGAATGTTCCAATCTCGGATGGCAAACCTCAGATAAAGAATGTTTCCAAGCAAATACAACTCAGGCAAACAAAGTCACTAATCTAAAGGAGGATTAGAGAGAGGAAGTAAACATATGTTAGACTTTAACTAGAGATAATTAATTGTATGGATTACTGTGCTAAACAGTAACGAAAGTTAAGCAGTAACCAAAGTTAACCAATGGTGGAGGATAATTAAAAATGTGTATAAATGCAAGACTAGACTCCAATAAAGATCATCATGATTCAGTTGTTCATGATCAAACAACTCGACTGCCTCGTCATTACAACAATCAGTGCCCAACATAATTAGTGCACTGATGACGTTACCTAGTTGGGTCGTGAAACATCTACAAGGAAACAACCAAGCTCAGAGACCACCCAGGACCCCACAGTCCTCCTCCTCTTCCTCTCCGCTAACCCCACTCCCTTTTAGCACTGATGTTGTTACCTAGTTGGGTCATGAAATGTCTGCAAGGAAACAACCAAGCTCAGAGACCACCCAGGACCCCACAGTCCTCCTCTTCTTCCTCTCCACTAACCCCACTCCCCTTTTAGCACTGATGTTGTTACCGAGTTGGGTCGTGAAACATCTACAAGGAAACAACCAAGCTCAGAGACCACCCAGGACCCCACAGCTCAACCTTGAATTACAAATATTCTCTTTGGGGTAATTTAATTTCAGGGCCCTCAAAAATCAGGAATCTTGATTTTGATTCCCCAAAACATTTGAACTTCCCTGAGTTCAAATGTCTTCATAAAAACCCCTTTTCATAAAAGGGATGAGCCCTGATATTATTTATACCTCTTTTTAGATTTAAAGACAGAAAGTTAAAAAAACCATATCAGTTTAAATCCTAAACTCCCAGATCTCTTTGTTTTAGAATATTTTTATCCATGCTGGCTGACCTTGTCTGGATTTACTTAAAGTCCGGCTGATAAGTAACGGCCATAGGAAACAATTTTAAATTCCTAGAGTGTAGCCGTTTCTCAACCGCAGGTCCATTAAGGTGTCTGTACTTCAGCTCCCAGAATTCCCCAGCAGGCTATGCTATGCTGAGTATTTAGATATTTTCTAAACTCTAAAGCAGGGGTCGCCAACCTTTTGGGCCTCAGGGACCAGCAAACTCATAATTTTAAATTTGAGTGGCAGTGGCTTGCTGACGTTGGTGGGAGAGAGAGAAAGAGAGAGAGAGATGGGTTGGCAGTGATGTTTTTTTTTTCTCTCTCTCTCTCTCTCACACACACACACGCCCCACACACACACATGCCCCCCCCCCCACATACTCAGGGAGAGAGAGAGAGAGAGAGACGGTATCCTGCGATCCCAAATCAAGAACGATCAATCGGTAGGAAAACAGGGTGGGGGATTTTCCTGCAGATATTTTTTGGGATTTTCCCAGGGTCTCTGCAGAAAAAGCAGCACAGCAGAGACCCTGGGAAAATCCCCCAAAAAGTCTGCAGGAAGTCTTTCTTTCTCTCCCCCAAACTCCGCCAGAATGGCGCAGCCTCTTGGAGCAGGAGGCCTTGCAGGGTCCCAAAGACTCATTTCTGGCGGAGTTTGGGGGAGAGAAAGAAAGACTTTTGCTGCTTTCCTTGCGTGCAGCCAAAAGCAGAAGAAGAAAGAAGCAGAAAGAAGCAGCCCGGTGGCCAGGCCAGGCGAGTGGGGTGAGTTCCCCCTCCCCCCGCCCTTTCCCCCCTCCCCTCACTACCTCGTGTTGTACGCAATGCAAGAGACGCAAGCCTTGTGTTCCCACGCAGCCCGGATTAATTGCTTTGGGGGTGACCTTTCTCTGCGGACCAACAAAATTTTCTCATGGACCACCAGTGGTCCCCGGCCCACTGGTGGGCGACCACTGCTCTAAAGCATCTGTAGGCCAGACAAGGAAACTGAACAAGGAGAGATTCAACCTGGAAATAAGGAGAAACTTTCTGACAGTGAGAACAATCAACCCATGGAACAGAAGTTGCCCTCGGAAGTTGTGGGAGCACCATCCCTGGAGATTTTCAAGAAGAGATTGGGACTGCCATCTGTCAGAAATGGTGTAGGGTCTCCCGCTTGGGTGGGGGGTTGGACTAGATGACCTACAAGGTCCCTTCCAACTCTGATTATCTGTTATCTGACTAGGGAATTCTTGAAGTCCACACATTTTAAAGTGAGGTTAAATGGTAAAATCCCAGAAAAAGACTACAAGGAGGCCTTATGACCACAGTTACAGCCCAAAATTTCTGCTGCTAAGTGAGACGTTAAGTGAATTTTGTCCACAAAATTTTGAGTCGTTAAGGGAGACATTTGCCAAGGGAGTTTTGCTCCATTTTACGACCTTTCTTGCCCCAGTGGTTAAGTGAGTCACTTGTTAAGTGAGTAACACGCCTGTTAAAGAGAGAGAGAAGAGAGGGGAGAGAGAAAGAGGAGAAAGGGAGAGAGAAACAGAGAGAGAGAGAGAGAGAGAGCAAACCAACTCTGCATAGAGGGGGGATTTGCAGTATGGCCGTTTGCAAGCCTCCTTGCACGAGTAACACAAATTCACAAATGTCCTGTCTTGTATTTGGGGCGGGGGGGGGGGGTGTCTTAATAAACATCCACATGCTTCTGACCTCCATGAGGACCAGAAGCATGGGGTGGCTGCATGCATTTGTTGCCTTCGTTCGCGGCAGCTGCTTTGCAAGCTCTCAAGAGGAAGAAACGCTATGAGCAACAGCTGGCCCAAATCGACGGGACCCTGTCCACCATCGAATTCCAACGCGAGGCCCTCGAAAACGCCACCACCAACACCGAAGTGCTCAAGACCATGTCGGACGCGGCTCGGGCCATGAAAGAGGCTCACCAGCATATGTGAGTAGCGCTTTTCCCAAGCGATCGATAGAAGAAAGCAGCCCGATTCCCTGGACTCAAAAATCTGGTCCATGTTTTGCTTTTAGCTTAGAGCAGTGTGTGTGTGTGTGTTTTTTGTTTTTTTTTCCAACCTTGGCCATTTCAAGACAAGGGCAAATTTCAACTCCCAGAATTCCCCACACCACACTCCTCCTCCTCTTCCTCTGCTCTTCTTCTCCTCTTCCTTTTCCTTCTCTCCTCCTCTTCCCACTCCGCTTCCTCTCCCTCCTTCTCCCTCCACTTCACAAGCCCTACTCCCTTCTACTACTGATGATGTAACCTAGTTGGGTAATGAAATGTCTGCAAGAAAATAATTAAGCTCAGAGAGCACCAAGGACCCCACAGTTCTCCTCCTCCCTTATGCCATTGATGATGTTACCTAGTCAGGCCTTGAAATGTCTGCAAGAAAACCCCCAAGCTCAGAGACCCCTAAGCACCCCACAGTCGTCCTCCTCTTCCTCCTCCGCTTCTTCTCCCTTTTCCTCCCCACCTGCTCTTCCTCCTCCTCCCCTTCCTCTTCTCTTCAAACACCACTGCCTTCTAGCACTGATGGCGTTACATAGCCAGGTCACAAAACGTCTGCAAGAAAACCACCAAGCTCAGAGACCACCAAGGATCCCACAGTCCTTCTCCTTCTCTCCCTTTTCCTCCTCTTCCTCCTCCCCTTCTCCTCTACCATCTCTTCCTCCCCCTCTCCTCCTCTTCACAAGCCCCACTCCCTTCTAGCACTGATGATGTGCCGTAGTTGGCTCATGAAAGGTCTCCAAGAAAACCCCGCCAATCTCAGAGACCACCAAGGATCCCCCCGAGCTTTCTCCTTCTCTTCCTACCCCCTCCAGGGACATTGACAAAGTGGACGACTTAATGGCCGAAATCACCGAACAGCAGGACATCGCCCAACAGATCTCGGATGCCATATCTAAGCCGGTCGGCTTCGGGGATGATGTGGATGAGGTAAGGAGGGCTGAGAGATCCATGGATGGCCTCCAGAGGGATAAGGGGACTTCAACTCCCAGAATTCCCCACCCCACAGACCTCCTGCTCCTCCTCCTCCCCCTCCTCTCTTCTTTTTCCTTCTCTCCTCTTCCTTTTCCTTCTCTCTTCCTCTTACTCCTCCTTCCTTTT